AAACTGGCAAACTGATGCTAAAACCAGCAAAACATTACCTAAAACTGGCAAACTGATGCTAAAACCAGCAAAACATTACCTAAAACTGGCAAACTGATGCTAAAACCAGCAAAACATTAGCTAAAACTGGCAAAACAATTTGGTATAATTTGTGAAACTGTGGCTAGAAGCTAAAAGGAGCTGAACAATACGTTAAAAGTAAAAGAACCATAACCGTGGCTAAAAAGAGAAGACTGGTACCTAAAACTAGCAGAAGAAACTAAAATTAGCACATTTGTACGCGAGAGATAAATCTGGCAGAACTGTAGTTTAAAGCCAGAAGTAGCTGAGGAAGACAGAAACAGCTAAAGCAGACTTCAAAGAGAACAAAGTTTTTGTAGGATCTGAAAGGGTTTCTTTGGTAAAAGTGCTGACTCAGCGTTCTGACTCAGCGTTCTGACTCAGCGTTCTGACGGTGATGATGAGATCTGTTTTAGCCGATTGTTCTGACAGAACCAGCTGAGTTCTTATGTTTCCCTCCTCCTGGTTCTGGACCGGTCTGGACCGGTCTCCTGACAGGGAGGTGTACTCTCAGTTCCTCAGGGAGATGATCATCCAGCCGGGCCTGGCCAAAGCCAACATGGGTCTGTCCAGAGAAGACGTGACCCTGGAGGACCACGTGAGTCCGCTTTCATTCAACTGCAAGTTCTGTGATGTGGTTCTGGTTCTGGCTCCGACATCAATGACAGGTTCTGTGTTCTGGTTCTGCTCAGCCTCTGAACCCGAACCCGGACAGCCGCTGGAACACGTACTTCAAAGACAACGAGATCTTACTGCAGATCGACAAAGACGTCAGGTGGGCTCGGTTCTGTTGTCCTGTAGACCCTCCAGTCCAGGAACCCTGACCTCTGGTTCTGGTTCTGTTGTCCTGTTGACCCTCCAGTCCCGGAACCCTGACCCCCTGGTTCTGATCTCATGTAGAACCCTAACTCTGTGAACCCTGACCCCCTGGTTCTGGTTCTGATCTCATGTAGAACCCTAACTCTGTGAACCCTGACCTCTGGTTCTGGTTCTGTTTCAGGAGGTTGTACCCGGACATGGCCTTCTTCCAAAGACCCACAGAGTACCCCTGCCAGCTGATCCTGGACCCTCAGAACGACTACGAGACCCTGAGGACACGGGTGGAACAGACCACCCTGAAGGCCCAGACCGTCAACCGGAACCGCAGCGGGGTCACCAACGTGAGTCTGCAGGTTCTGGTCGGGGTCCAAGGAGCTGGATCTAAGCCTCAAACCTGGATCAGAACCAGGTTTTAGGGACGAGGTTCTCTGGACCTGATCCTCCTCCTCTCTCCCCTCAGGTGAGCTCACCTGGGAAGTCCCTGCACCTGTACCCGTCTAACGAGTACGAGGTCCTCCCTGCGGGCAGCGAGGCCCACTGGGAGGTGGTGGAGCGGATCCTCTTCATCTATGCCAAGCTGAACCCGGGTCTGGCCTACGTTCAGGGCATGAACGAGCTGGTGGGCCCCGTGTACTACACCTTCGCCACGGACCCCAACAGCCAGTGGAAAGGTCCGAGCCCCGCTCCCCTCGCTCCACGTGACGCAGCGTTCCGGCCGTTCCTCTAACCAGCTGTTTATGCCCCGCCCCCTCAGAGCACGCCGAGGCCGACACCTTCTTCTGCTTCACCAGCCTGATGTCGGAGAACAGAGACAACTTCATCAAGAGTCTGGACGACTCTCAGTGCGGCATCACCTACAAGATGGAGAGCGTCTACGCCATGCTGAGGGACAAGGACCCGCAGCTGCACCACAGACTGGTACCAGAACCAGAACCAGAACCCTGTGTCTTGTTAGCCTGCTGCTCAGCCTCTCATGGTTCTGTTGGTTCTGACAGGAGGAGCAGAACATCAAGCCTCAGTACTTCACCTTCCGCTGGCTCACCCTGCTGCTGTCCCAGGAGTTCCTGCTGCCGGACGTCATCCGCATCTGGGACACGCTGTTCTCTGACAAGGACCGCTTCCACTTCCTGGTCCTGGTCTGCTGCGCCATGCTCATGTGAGGACGCTACAGGCTACACGCTACACGCTACATGCTACACGCCACATGCTACACACTGCACGCTACATGCTATATGCTGCACGCTACATGCTGCATGCTATATACTGCACACTACATGCTGCATGCTACATGCTATATGCTGCATGCTACTTGCTATATGCTGCACGCTACATGCTGCACGCTACATGCTACACGCTACAAGCTACATGCTTCACGCTACAAGCTACATGCTTCACGCTACATGCTGCATGCTACATGCTACACGCTACATGCTATATGCTATATGCTGCACGCTACATGCTGCATGCTATATGCTGCACGCCACATGCTACACACTGCATGCTGCACGCTACATGCTACACGCTACAAGCTACATGCTTCACGCTACATGCTGCATGCTATATGCTGCACGCTACATGCTATATGCTGCACGCTACATGCTACACGCTACATGCTGCACGCTACATGCTAACGCTACAAGCTACATGCTTCACGCTACATGCTGCATGCTACATGCTACACGCTACATGCTACACGCTACATGCTATATGCTGCACGCTACATGCTGCATGCTATATGCTGCACGCCACATGCTACACACTGCATGCTACATGCTGCATGCTACATGCTATATGATGCACGCTACCTGCTACATGCTATATGCTGCACGCTACATGCCACACGCTACATGCTGCACGCTACATGCTACACGCTTCACGCTACATGCTGCAAGCTATATGCTGCACGTTACATGCTGCATGCTACATGCTATATGCTGCACGCTATTTCCTACACGCTACATGCTACACGCTGCACGCTACATGCTATATGCTGCACGCTACATGCTATATGCTGCTTGCTACATGCTACACACTGCACGCTACACGCTACATGGTATATGCTGCATGCTACATGCTGCATGCTACATGCTATTTGCTGCACGCTACATGCTACACGCTACATGCTGCACGCTACATGCTACATGCTTCACTCTACATGCTGCACGCTACATGCTGCATGCTACACGCTAAACACTACATGCTACATGACGCATTCCTGTCTGACGGGCTGTACTTCCTGTCTGACGGGCTGTACTTCCTGTCTGACGGGCTGTACTTCCTGTCTGACGGGCTGTACTTCCTGTCTGACGGGCTGTACTTCCTGTC